GGTGTCTGATTCCCTGGAACTTGAGTTAGCAGTGATTGTAAGCCACCATGTGTGCGCCAGAAACTGAAGTCAAGCTCTTAACCATTGAACTATCTCTCTAGCTCCTTCTCCCATCTCTTTATCATGTCTTTAGATAAATCAGCTTTCTTCGAGCAGACTTCTGGCCAGGTGATTGACATGCCTAACTGGATTAACTCTTAAGAGAAAAGGCAATAGTATTTACTGTTCTAATATTTGAAGTAGATCGGAATGACATGGTACTGCCCAGGGTTACATGTATTCTTTTGATTTGTCCAGGAGGTTAAGGAGAGGCAGTTTCAATGTTTGCCTTTTTAGTGTTACAGGGAAATGGCCGGTTGGAAGAGGATGTCTCATCCTCAATATCCCCAAAGCCATTAACCCTTATTAACATTCCTCTTCAAGAGTTGAGGCCCTAAATCACTAGAAACCAGACCAGGGACCAGGATCCCCAAATAGAGCGTTTCTGAATTTAAGCCAGGACAAGTTATTTCCAGCTTCCCTACTTAGGGCAGGTATCGGGTCCTTTCCCCTAAACTGCCTGCACTGTTTCTGATTTTACTCCACCACTCCTTTATTAAACATTATGCCTCTGTAGGTGGCTTTTTATTGTAACTGTTCTCTATTTAAAGTATTTAAAGTCATTTTTGTGTGGATGCTTTGTTTTCATGGGACAACTCTACCTTTCATTGGAGATGGTGTATTGATGTTAAGTTACTGTTGCTATGACTAGATTTAAATCTCATTTGAGCTTTGTTTTCTGTTACTATTTGTGGCTCTTTGGGTTTTCTTCTGTCAGGCCTCTTTGGGGTTATTTTTTCTTATTTCATTTAATTTTCTGTATTCCTTTAGGTATAAGTTGTCTTAATTCTGGTTGCTTTATAGACTATAATAAACATCTTTCTTTAGCTTTGTAATGCAGTTGCTTTTTCCTTTTCTGTTTCTCTACTGTTTACTCTGGTCTAAAACTTACATCTGTGTGTTCTTTCAGTTGCAAAGTTCTCTTGATCCCCTCCATTCCTTAGACATTGTGAGAAAATAATACCATCTTTTATCTTTAACTATTAACATTTTCAGCTCTTTTAATTTTTTTCGTGATTTAAGGTTTTCTTTTGTTGTAATTTTTCTTTATCCTGAAATTTTCTTTAGTATTTATCTTCTGCAGAGACTGTTAGAAGCAAGTTGATTAAGTTTCTGTTCCACAGTATATATTTGTGTCTTGATTTCTTTTGCAAAGGCCACTTTGCTTGTTTGTGAACTAATGGGTTAGGAGTTCTTTTTTCTCAGCTCTGTAAAGATGTTCCATTGTCTTCCAACTTTCATTGTTTCTTCATACTTTGCTTTTCTGCCTCTGTAATGGATTGTTCTACTCTGGCTGCTGCCAGAATAGACAAGATTTTAAAGACAGCAAGAATGGGTGTTATTTTATAGTTTCTACAGGGAGGGAAGATGTGACTTCAGTTTGACTTCTATAGAGATGACTGAGCATTAAAGGAAAAAAGCAAGGATGCAGGCAAAGCTAAAGATGTGGGGATAGAGAGGGTAGAAGGGCCACTGGATGTGAGAGATTCCTCTAAGTGCTAACTTGACACCTACTCAGGTGGCTTCTTCTGGAGTAGGGGTTTGAACCCTCAGAGGAATTCCTACCCTGAGGGTCTTTGAGAGGAGTTTAGAAAGTTGAAAAGGATTTGTACCAGAAGGGTTCTAAGAAAAGATAGTGTGGCCCGCCATAACTTGTTGGGTAGTTAGTTTAAATTACTTGGTGTTCACTAGACCTCTTGGGTGTTTTAAGTTCAGGTGGTTTGTTTGTTTTGTTTTTTAAGTTGAAAATATTTTAAGACTTGGAAATGTTTCAACCATTTTCCCTCTAGACTTTAATTTATTTCAATTTGTGTCTACTCTTGTTAATGTATTTGTACACATTGTTAAGACTTCTTTTTTTGAGTTTTTTATTTTACTATTCTTGGTTAGGTAATTTGTAGTAATGTATACATTTCATTAATTTATTTTTTGACCACTGGGTTCTTTATTTCAGAGTTGGTAATTTTCAGTTTTAGCATTTGTTTGATTCATTTCTGTAGTTTACATTTTTTGATATTTCCCGATCTGTTCATTAATTTCATGAACATATTTGTAGTAATTACTCTAAAGCTCACATCGATCTGTTTCTGTTTGTGTGACTGTTAGTTGTGTGCTAGTTCTGTGAAATAGCATTGTCCTACCCTCTGAAGAGCTGGGTTTTGTTTTAGCGTGTATTTAGTAGCTTCAAAATCTAGACTTTCTTCTACTGTTGGCAACCGCTGCATTATCAGTTCTTTGCGCTTTTCCATTACCGGTTTCCTCAACCCCTGTAGATTTGTCCATGTGTGTCAGTCAAGCATTCGTGCACAGGTCACAGTTTGAAGATTCCTCCCCAGTGGCTCCTTTATTTCCTTGTGTTAAGCTGCAGTTTTATGTGTGAGTTCTAGTTATCCTGAATTACTGAGACTGGGGTTTGCCCTTAAGTACAAAGTCTTGGGAATGCAGCTCTCATCTAATGCAGCATCCCTAACCCACAACAACTTGGGTTTCAGTTTGCATGCTTCTGGTTTTTGTACTTTGTTTTTAAATGCTTTTTATATTTGGTTGGTTAAAACTGGTTTGAGGAAAATTACCTAATTGAAGCTCCTGACCTTTGCTGGAAGTGGAGTCTGCTCTGCGCTAGTACGCTGTGTCTGTGTGCTTTTGACCTGATGTAGGATCAGTCTCTCCTCAGCCTTCCAGTGGCTCTTACTTATTGTGTTATGCTTGGAGAATCTTGTCTGGATCATAAAACCTATGAATTTCTCTTTATGTTCCTTTGTGTTTAGTTATGTTAAAGTTGTGTCTTTAATAACTACACATACTCTAGTTGCTTTGTATGTTACACAGTGGATACGCTTTAGAGTGTTTGGCTGGGTGTGGTGATGTACAACCATAATCCCAGCCCTTGGGAGGCTGAAGCAGGTTTGTGTGTTTCAAGCCAGCTTGAACTACATATGAAAGAAACAAGCAAGCATTTTGCTAGCCAGAATTGATGTTTTTAAATAAGATTTTCAGTTTGAGGGAACGGAGCAGGTGAGGGATGAGATCCCCATGGGGGCGTGACCCGGGTCAGGCTGAGGTACGCCAAGGTCTGCATCAGTCTGCATCTGTCCATTCATGTTCTTACCCGTTGCTGTTTATTTGCTTTATTTCAGGCCCAGTAGAACACAGTTTAAGTGCTTTGTGCCTAGATTATGGTGGTCCTGTTGTTCTCAGAGGAACCTGAGTGAAATGTTCTTCTAATACGATAACAGAATAGTCTCTAGTTATGCCGTTATTTTCCTTTAATCAGCTGTATACTATTCATTTCAGTTCAAAATTACAAGAGGAAGATCTATATTATTCTTTCATTTCTTGACTTTTTTTTTCCTCATTCGTAGTATGGTGATGTTTGTACTGTTAAAAAGTGAGATTGTCTAAAACATATCAAGGCAATACAGAAAAATTTCTAAGTATTTCCCCCTTTCCTTTCTGTCCCTCTGTCCCTCTCTTTCTCCCCTTTCCCAGCAACTATTCAATTCCAGTTACTTTGCACTTTAAATCAGGGGTGTCCTGCAACCAAATAGCTGTTTTAAGGGGCCCTGGGTCAGTCTAGATTAATGGTTCTCAACCTGTGGGTCATGACCCCTTGGGGGGGTCAAAAGATCTCAGACCATCAGAAAACACAGATATTTACATTATGATTCATAACAGTAGCAAAATTCCAGTTACAATATAGCAACAAAATAATTTTATGATTGGGGGAGGTCACTGCAAGGAGGAACTGTATTGAAGGGTTGCAACATAGGAAAGTAGAGACCCACTCCTCAGATTGTCCCTAGCCTCAGGAGAGCCTGTGCTTTCCCACTGCCCTTCGCTGATCCAGTTGTCTAACTAATGGTGAGAAAATGTGAGGCTTAATCACTCATTTATTCTTAAAGGTTATTAGAAATGTTCCCTCTTTCTCAAATTTTGTTGATTTTGGTAGTATGTGTGAAGTGGAATTGAATTGCAAAAAAATATATTTGACTAAAGAGTATAGCTTCATAGCTGAAAGATAAGGCCACCAAAACTCCATTCTGAAAGTTCCATTTCAGTTCTTCCCTTTGCCCACAGGCCAGTAGCTACTCTGAGATGAAGTAGTAATAGTGACTCTGACTTGCCTATACTCTGGAAAGATACAAAAAGGAACTTTAAGATGTGTTGTATTGACTTCAGTGTATCTACAGTGCCCTTTATAGATGATGGCAAGGAAACAATTGCAGCTTTCAGTGAAGCTGAACTCCTTTAAGTAGTACAAATGGATAACTGGGACATTTTAATCCTGGGTATGTCTGGTTGGTTTATTTTACTTATTTGTTTTTGAGACAGGATCTCATAGACCAGGCTGGCCTTGAATTTCCTGGGTAGCCTAGACAAGCATTGAATTCCTCTTCCTCCTACCTCTATCCTCCAAGTGCTGGGAATGCAGGTGTGTGCTACCACACTCAAATGATAAGTATTTATTTTCAGTGGGACTGTTTCTATATTAAAAGCACCAATTGACAGCTATTTTTAATTGAAGTGAGCTTGTTGTTGTTGCTGTTTTTTTAAACTGAATAATGAACTGAAGGCTTGTTAGTGGGGTTGATGGCATAGAATGAAGTCTTTAAGTAGAGGAAGTTGGAAAGGATGTTATAGGTATGACTGCATTAGGTTAGTGAGCATTGGTGTTCTCATATAAAACATAATCATAACTTATCTGGAGTCACATGTTCCATTTATTGGCTTCCTTCATATAGAAAATATAGTGGCCAACTGTGACCCATGGTGGGTGAAGCCATGTATATCTTCTGGGTGAAGGAAGTGTTCTGTACATTCTCCATGCTTTGCATCATGGTACTTTGAATAACCATGCTTCCATGTTCACATCAACTTTTTGTTTTTCAATTTATGCACAGCACTTGCTCTGAAATTTGGGGACTGAGTACACCAAATACGGTAGATCAGTGGGATACAACAGGCCTTTACAGCTTCTCTGAACAAACCAGGTGAATATTCTGCCCTCTCTGAACCCTAGAGACCTGGTGGGAGGGTGTGCTTTGGAAGATCTCGACGGGGTTGCGTAGTGTAACTTTTGCCTAGGATGTTAACTTATTGTGAAGAAGGCATAGCATGTAAATTATCTGCTTGCCAGTATTAAAAATATATTAAATGTTTCAACTGATGTTTTGGTCAATGCAATTTTAGTTTTGAATCTTTAAATGATTGTGTCCCATAAATAAGTCCTTTTTATAGTTCTATACTCACTGTAGTCTAAGATTACACAGATTTGTTATTGGCCTAATTTTTAAGTAGATTCTAGTTTTTTCTAAATTTCTTGTTAGTCTCATTGTTATACTAGTATCTGATGAGCGCTTACATCACAATTAACAGTAGACTAACGTGTTTTTCTGTCATCTTTTTTTTAATCACTTCATTCTCTTGTAAGCCCATTGGTATTTGTCCATTTCATCTCACGTTCATAACCATCCGCATTTCTGTGTGAGCTTCATAAATAAGCCTCAGATATCAAAAGTCACACTTGAATAACAACGTTAGTCCCAGTAAGTTACTGTCACATCATTGTTGGTATTTACTGCCATTTTCATACTACTTCCTTTTTTTGACAACCAGTTGCTTCAGAATTAATGCCTTTGAGGAATTAGCTTATTAAAAATAGACATGAAATTTTCAAGTATAACCACATAACATTTTGTAGACCACCTGCCCACGAGGCTAGCCTTCTGTTGGCATGTGAATTGTTATACGCACACTGATAGGAGACAGGTGCGAGTGCCGCTGCTTGCTTGATCAGATCCAAGCCGGAGTGCACTGTTCTTCCTGAATATCACTAAAGCTAACTCAATGGTCGTGGTTTCCTTCATTGTGCTCTTAGTGTATTAATTCATCCCCTTTGATGAATCTAGTCTCTCCTTCTAAAAATGCCTTCCTCTTTCCCCTTGCTTCCGAATAGGTCTCTTGATGGCCGTCTTCAGGTTTCGCATCGGAAAGGGTTGCCACATGTTATATATTGCCGGTTATGGCGCTGGCCGGACCTTCACAGTCATCATGAGCTCAAGGCAATTGAAAACTGCGAATATGCTTTTAATCTGAAAAAAGATGAAGTGTGCGTAAATCCTTACCACTACCAGAGAGTTGAGACACCAGGTAGGAAAACTAGGTGGTTTTTGGTTTTGTTTTCCTGGCTTTAAATTAAAAGGCTGACTGAAGGCTAATATTCCTTGTGCCTCCGGGAAATTTTAATGTAAAGTTGTAATAAATTCTCTTGAGTATATTATTTGGTGGAAGTTTTAAATGCTTTCTTATTTTTTAAACTTCATGGAGAAAGGGGCATGTCCTCTTCCTGGGAACGTACTCTGTTGGACAGGCAGGTGTGTATCCAGGAAATTTCACAGACTTGCTGTCTGCTAAAAGTTGTCCATGTGTCTCTGGTACCTACCTTCAACGTTCCACTCTGACTGCTTTCAGAGTGATAGCATTTTTAGAGAAGTAATTGAATGAAGTTTATGTAGGACTTTGGATTAGCGAGCTAAAAATAATCCTATATTCTTAGAAAAATTTTTACATCTGACTTTAGTGATGACTTTTCATTCACCATTTCTAGTGGAATTTTATAAGTTCTTATGTTAATATAGTATTGACAGGGTCAGATTGTTCCCTAAAGTAAAAAATAAACCTTAGTTTGGGAACTTAAATGGTGAATTACATAAGTCAGCTCCATGATGAGATTTGTCAGGTTCTTAGTGTCATAATACCAGACAGGTGTACCAAGACTTTGAAAAATGAAGCTGTTGCCTTCTGTCTTGTGAGAACCTTGAGTAAAGAAAGACCCCTCTCCTTTCGCACACTTGCTACTAACTCTGATTTCTTTAACTCCTGCAGTTTTGCCTCCAGTATTAGTGCCTCGGCACACAGAGATCCTAACAGAACTGCCGCCTCTGGATGATTATACCCACTCCATTCCAGAAAACACTAATTTCCCAGCAGGAATTGAGCCACAGAGTAATTACATCCCAGGTATTTTTGCCTTGAAAATCTCTTAAAACTTAGGTAAATAGCAATCTTGTAACAAATGCCAAGTGTTAGTAATGTGGTTTAATTTTCAAAATGTTCTTGGCTCTGTATTGAGCAGTCTGATTTGTGGGGATGGTTTTGTGCAGGGTCTGCTCCCAACACATTAAACAGTTTATCTCGATAAGAGGTTTACTTTTAATTTCCTTTTCTTTCCAGTGACTTTAAACAAAATACTCTTGAGAAGTAGGAAAAAGATCCTAGTAAGTTTGTCATAGCTGCTGAAGTAGAGCGGAGTCCAGAGCGTGATCATACTATGTCCTGGAACAGACATAACCATGCATCTCTAAGCAGTCATTTCCCATGGGGAATTTGCTGGTGCTTATGGCGAATAAACACTTAGTACGTGCAATATTTTAGTTTTATAGATAGCAACGCATTGAGGAAAATAAAGCTCTTGATTATGTTTCTCCTGGGTCTTAGGCAATTCTGCTGAGAAAAAAAATGAGTGAATACAGCTGCGTGGTTCTCAAATTCTTTGGTAAACTGTGGAGTCTGTGGGGTGAAAGGAGGGGGACAACTGTGGATTCAGTTGTCCCTTTCCACCTTTGCTTGAATGCCGGGCATTGATCAGGTTGCCAGGCCTGTGTGGCAGTCACTGTACCTGCTGAGCTCAGATTCTGCTCTTATCTCTTGTTTTATGTGACCCAGTAATATTTCACAATTCAGTACCAACTCCTATAGTTTTTATTGTTTCCTAGAAAAAAATAAAGATACTTATTCTTTGTTTGCAGAAACTGATCAGGAACTATTTGTGTTCTGAAATTTTAATGTCTTTTAGTCCCTGCCTGCCTGCCTCTTCCATTCCCTCATCTTTTTCTGATTTTTTAATCCCATTCCAGCTTTTATTTTATGCAATAGAAATATGCAGGGAATCAAAGACTTTTATTTGGCATATTACATTATAAAAAATGATATTTGTCCATTGAAGATAATTTTTAAATTATTAGGGAAAAATGAGTTTTATTGGTTTTAGTAGCTCATTTAAGTATTGATTTATTTCAAAAGACTACATTTTAAGAGCTTCTCTATACTATGCCAACCTGCTTTTAGCCCTCAGGTGCTAGTATATAGAAACTTTTTGTGACATTAGTAAGGAAGAGGAGTAAGGTGAGGGAGGAGAATCGTAAACTGAAACATTTCCTTTTTGGGAGAATTGAGTATCTTTTATCACTGGCTAGAAGTGGAGTGGGAATGTGTGTGTGACCCGAAGTGCAGCATTTAAGTCTTTTGCGTGGCAGCTGTTGTTACTTCATAATGCAAACAAATTAAAATTTGTGTGTATCACAGTCTCTGAGACACACACCAGAGAATTACTTGCAATATTATTCAGAATGCGTTTTCATTTAATATTAAGAGGTTTAGACTTTTTTTTCTTTATTGTTTTAACTATTTAGATGTTAGTGTTTTTTAAAGTAGCAAATTAGAAGGGAAATGCTCAGTTTTTCTGGACACTCAGGCTTTCCAGCTCCCATTGACAGCAAAACCAAAGAATTTACTTTTGTTTCTTTTCATAATTTTTATTTTCTTTTTTTTTTAAATATTTATTTATTATGTATACAATATTCTGTCTGTGTGTATGTCTGCAGGCCAGAAGAGGGCGCCAAACCTCATTACAGATGGTTGTGAGCCACCATGTGGTTGCTGGGAATTGAACTCAGGACCTTTGGAAGAGCAGGCAATGCTCTTAACCACTGAGCCATCTCTCCAGCCCCCATAATTTTTATTTTCAATATAATATTTGAACAAATATTAGATTTGAATAAGTATAAATAAAATACAATTTTATTTTTATTAATTTAAATTATACGTAACATGTATGTCTATTTGCATGTCAGTGCAGATACCCACAGAATTCAGAAGGGGGTGTTGACTTCCCTAGAGTTGAGTCAACTGACCTGGTGCTGGAACTGAGTTCAGGTTCTTTGCAAGAATAATACCTGCTCTTAACTTCTGAGCCATTGCTCCAGTCCCTCAAAAGAACTTTTATCATTATTTTAATGCTAATAGCTTATCAGTTTATAAATAAATAATAATGGAGGATGGTAATAGAATGAGATAAAGTGTCTTAAAGTTGAGTTTTTTGCATCTTAGACCTTTGAACACCAATGTTGAGACTGTCAGATCTCAGCTTTTTAAATTTTCTTACATTTAATATTTAAAATAGTGTGTATTTTCATTTTTTATTTGGATCTATGAAGATACTTTGCTTTTAGAATTTTAGTATAAACATTTTGACATAATGGCTTCTAAATGAGAATGGGGGAGGCAGTTTGTTTTAAAGACAGGTTGACTCTTACTGTATAGACCAGATTTGCCTCGAACTTAAAGGGATCCTCCTTCCTTTGCCTCCTTGAATAATGTCAGAATCTTTTTTCTGTTGTATGTCTGCATTATTTTGAGTTACTGTTAAAAATTGAAAATGATACACTGTTGAAAATTTTTTGAACTTTTACCATTAAAATCACAAATGATAAAATTGTATGCATGTTTTTATTATCTTTGAAATTTACTAAGTTTTATAGGTGCCTCCTGAATGTAAACATTTTATTCCAAAAATGTATTGGAAATGATGCTAGAGTCCTATTTTCAGCAAGTACTTTATGTAGTTTCTGCTTCGTTTAGAACTGTCAGGCAGTTAGAAATCTAAGCAGGGGTGGTGGATTCAGGGTAGGTCAATCCTGAGTCACCTACTCAGGATAGTTTAGTGTATTTTGAAATCCCAGCTGTGTGTACATCAGTCTTCTCCCAAGTGACTGTCCGTGCCTGTACATGGTGTCCACTAGTTAAAAAGAGCAAGACTACTAATGTCTTTGAATCCTGCCGAGAGGTATCTTTGTAGTTAAGCTCTTGACTGTTTCAGAGTACGTACACATGAGCCAGATGTTAAATAATACATAAGAAAATATGCCAGAAAAACTGGGTTTTGTTACAGGTATGCTTTAGGGATTCATCTACAAGATACGGATTAGACCCTCAGTTGCGGACCCAGTTTTGCTGTTTATAATGATGTATATGTATACACATAGAGAGTAGTATCTAAGTTTGCTTTTGATGTTTCATGTGTGTGTACAGATACACACATATATATATACATCCTTTTTTTGGTTTTCTCATTGCTTACATATGGTAACTGGGAGAAAAAGCTGAAATCAAATCAACTATATTTGATTTGTTATAGAAACGCCACCACCTGGATATATCAGTGAAGATGGAGAAACAAGTGATCAACAGTTGAACCAAAGTATGGACACAGGTAAATATGAGCTTTTCAGTAATCGGTCATTGAGTTGACTTTCTGTGATCTCAGAGCATGTCACTAGATTCAGCTAACCACAAATCAAGAATTTTTGAAAATAAAACTTGATTCTGGGGCCTAGTAAGTTGACTGAGTGGCTCAAGGTGTTTGCTGTCATGACTGCTCAGGTTTGATTCTCAGAACCACAGAGTAGGAGGAGAGAGTCAACTACTGTAGTTGTCTCTTGATCACCACACGCACAGCATGGGCATGCCTGCCCACAGTAGCTACCCATCCCAGTGTGAGAAAGCAAACTGTTGGTTCAGGAGCAATGTTTGCTGACACTTAGAGAAGTTGGAATATGTACTCGAAAAGTGAACCTCACCTATCTTGACAGTATCTGAGCTGCCGAATGGGCACTCGGTGTTGTCAAAAAAATGAATTGTACCACTTCACAGTTGGTAGATGTTTCTCTTACCGGACAAAGTACTCAGTGTCCTCCCCCAAGTATTCTACACTGCTTTCAAAGTTTTAACTTTGAAAGTTAAATAAACCCGTGAATAAACATCTTTCATAATAGACAAGTCACCTGCCTTTAAGAACGATGTGAGAACAGAAGAGGGAGACCAGCTTTTCTGTGCTTCTGTAATTTTCTAGCGAGTTCTGAATTAATAGTAAACTTTTTACATAAGGTACATTGTTCCTGATCTAAATTTGATTAATTTCTGATAATTAACTATTATGTGCAGTGTTGGGGAAGTTTTAGCATATAGTAGTGAATATTACATACTCCAAAACTTAAAGGTGTTTGTCAAGTAATAAGCGCTAAAGCCCAGGGAAACCAAGTAGGGTACCCTTGAAAATGCTTTGATGTTATTGTCTAGATTGATTTATTATTCAACCTGTCTTACTTTAAGGATTAGTTTGTGTCTTAGTCACTGTTCTGTTGCTGTGGAGAGACTCTGACCAACTCTTAGGCAACTCTTAGGAAAGAAAGCATTTAGTTGGGAAAGAAAGCATTTAGTTGAGGGCATCCTTAACTATTTTAGAGGTTTAGTCTGTAAGCATCATGGCAGGAAGCATGGCTGCACACAGGCAGGTGCTGGAGCAGTAGCTGAGAGCTACATCCTGATCCATAGGTGGAGAGTGTTCCGTGACACATTTCCTCCAACAAGGCCACATCTCCTAATTCTTTTAATCCTTTTAAATAATGACACTCCCTGGTGACTAGGAGGCAAATATTTGAGCCAATGGGGACCAAATCTTACTCAAACCACCACAGTTAGTAATCCAAACTGGCCTGAAATTTACTGTCTGATCCAGGCTGCCCTCTAACTCAGATCAACTTGCTATAACCTTTGAGTGGTTGAATTATAGGCATAAGCCACCTTCTCTAGCCTATCTAAATTATCTTTAAATGGATTATTAATATTGGAGGAGGGGAGAGCTTTCTATCAATTTTGTTGTTTGACTCTTTCCATCTGCTAGATGCCCAGGAAAGATGCCTCTGTTGTAGCCAGTATTTATGTCTGACAATAAGAGTGGTAGATAAAAAGATAGATGATAATCTAATGATGATTGAAAATAGCAATTTGCATATGTTAATGTATATGATACTTGGATTTTCAAATATGTATCTTTGCTCAGTATGCTTTGGTGACATTATCTTTGCACTGTGGTAGGTAGCTGTTACCATGGCATTGAAAGTGGGTACCATATATGACTGAACATCATACATCACAAGTGAATCAGTATTTCAGACTTCTATATATACGTAATAAGAACATGATTGTTTCTTAGGTTGTGGAAAAACTGGAGCACTTAACATATTGCTGATAATGTAAATTGTTGTAACTGTTTTAGGAAAGTTGGTTTTTCTTCAAAAATTAAATATAAGATTACTACGTAGTCCCATCATTTCACTCCTAGATCTATACCCAAGAGAATTTAAACAGGTCCACGTAAAACTCGCAAGATTGTTTGTGTTGTAAACATTATATATTTCATTTCACAAATGGAAACAACCCAGATGTCTACCACATTTTGAATGGGTGAACAACATGAGGTATGTCCCTACAGTAGAAGTATGACCTGAAACCTGTGAGAGAGCATGGCCCTGCTGGCTTCTGTGAGAGTAATATTAAGCCATTCAATTTGTGGTACTTTGTTATATAAGTTAAAGTTGGTTAATATAAAGCTAATAAGGTTTTGAGAATGTATTACTAATAATGATAACTTGTCTTTAATAGTTTGTGAACTTTGTAGGTACTTAATATATTATTTTTAATTCTTTTGTTTTAAGCTTTGAGGATTATACAAGATGGCCTAAAACACTTCAAATTAGACTAGTTCTAGATTTGCGGCACCATCCTGCCTCAGCCCCCTACTTGCTGGGATTACAGGCATGTACCACCATACTAGGCCATGTTGTATTTTTTTTTTCCCTTGGTTTCTCAAGACAGGGTTTCTCTGTGTAACAGCCCTATCTGTCCTGGAACTCATTTTGTAGACCAGGCTGACCATGAACTCACAGAGATCTGCCTGCCTCTGCCTTCCGGGCACTAGGATTAAAAACTTACACCACCACTTGGCTCATGTTGTATTTTTTAAGCATACAAAAAATTTTGAGATGAAAGGATAAACTTAAGTAACTAGAAACTAGCCTATAATTTTTTCTTACTATCCAGTTCTATACCTGGAGCCCACATGAAGGTAAAGGAGATGATCAGCTACAGAGTTGTCCTCTGACCTCCCTACATGCACCTTGGCATACATGTCACACACAGTAGTGTATTGAAGGAAAATAACAATATTTTTGTATTATTTATGATTGCAGAATAAAGACATGCATAATACTCTATTAAGGAAGATTGTTAGCTGGATATTTTATACATGTTCTTTATCTGATTGAAAAAGTTCTATTCATTAGTTTATTGATTGATGATAGAAAACTCTAGGGTCTCATGCATGCTAGGCAAGCCTCTTATCACTCTTTGTGCTCTCAGTTCAATTCCTATATTCTGTGAGATGAAGTCTCCAAAGTGATTTTTCTAATGATAGTGTTAAGTGTGAGCAGGGTGGTTTTGTGTGTGTGTGTGTGTGTGTGTGTGTGTGTGTGTGTGTGTGTAGATCACTATAGCTGAAGATAGCTGGGTTTAGTTCTGGGTCCTCTATTTGCTTTCTTCATTCATTGTATTTTGCCCTTTTACAATTGTGACTCTGTAGTACAACCACCATACTCCACACGCAATACTGGGTCTGTTTCTTTGGTACTTACTCAAGTGAATTGAAAACACATCCTCCACAGAAAAATGTGACCTTGGGCGCTTATAGCAGTTTGGCCATTTAAAAAATTTTGAACAAAACTAAGATGTTGATAAATTGTGATACATCCGTACAGTGTCAGGTCATTCAGCATGAGGAAGAAATGGTAACATATGGTGAAACTTTAAATATATGTACTAAATGAAAAATGGTGATCTGTACAGGCCACATACATACTGTGTAATCCCAGCTGCCAGACTTCCTGAAAAGGCAGGCCTTTTTCTAACAGAAAGCTTAAGGTTCCAGAGTAAGAAGAATTGAGTAGGTAAAGCCATAAGGTAATTAGGCTGATATCTGTGATAGTAAAAATGGAGATGCGTATTATATATTTGTCAAAACCTACCGATAATAAATATAAGAGTGGGTCTTGTTGTAAATTGTGGGCTTTTGATAACAATACATCCAAGTATGTTTAGCAGTTACAGCATATCTACCATTGGGATCTGGGAGCATGGATAGAGTGACAGGTATAAGTCTTTTTACACTTTTTACACTTGATACCCAATTTTTGTATGACCCTAGAAATGCTCTAAAAAAAATTGAGTTTTTTATTTTGTTTTGTTTTGTAATGAAGTTTTAAATATCACCTTTAAAGATACTCTAAAGTAGATCCCAGAACTGGGGAAAGTGTTTACAAATGCATGAGATTTCTAGGAACTGTTTTAATTTAAAAACATAGATGTCAAAAGAGGGAGAAAAGATAGTAATTAATAGGAATAAAAGTGGGTGAAAATACTTGTAAATAAAAAAAAGATTAAAGAACCATTCTTTTAAGAATGTTAATTTGGTAACTATTACCACACAGTGATAGTGAAAAAAATACAACTTATAAGTTGGTATGACTAAACATTTTGATAGTGAACCTTTATACTTAAGAAAACACACAGTGCTCCCTTTGTGAGGAACTCATCCTACAAACATGCATGAACTTGTAAGCAAAAGATACACACAAATTTTGGGGGGATATTTTAGCTGTAGATAGGCAGTCCTGTCTCATAGCCAAACTCCTGAGCGCATTTACAATATGAGTGTTTGTTTCATTGATCAATTACCTCTTGTTTAAAAGAATGCTTTCTAAAAAGGTTGAGTTTGCTTAATTTAAGTTTTAAAATTTATAATGAGCCTTTCTTTTGTCACACCTGAAAACAAATAGCAAGCTTCCGTTAATTCTGATGAGTGTGTTAGACATGTAAATGTTAGAAGATAGGAATGATTGGGCAGCTCTTCCGTCTCCAGTTGTTTATATCTATTTCAGGAAATAACGTGGATTTTGGTTCATTGTTCTAAGTATATTTTGACCTTTCTCATTTGTACTTGTTGTGATTTGTCAACATTTTTTACCAAATGAAAAAAAAAGACATGGTTATGTAATATAATTGTTTTCTAAAAACTAGTGTTTGCTAGATCTCACTCTCTGATCTGTGTCTGCGGTGACTGCTTCTTTACCTGTGTCCCATGCTGTCGTATGTACTGTTGGTAGGGTGAATGGTGCAGAGTGCTATCCCCCCCTCCCCCAGTCTCCTGTACTGTGGCACTGGGAGCATGTGGAGCATGGTTTTTTTCATGATCTTTTTGAGACTTTGCCTAAACGTGTAGAGGGTGCTGCTTGTGGGATTGGTGGTGCTTGTGATTGTCGTAAGAGTATTTAATATTTGCAACAAATGTAGTTTAAATTCTGCTTCTATGACTTACCCCCTCAATTTGTGTATTTGTGCCTTGTATTTTCTGGATTAGATTTAGAATATTTATATAAAACTGAAAAAATTGAGTATTTTTATAAGAAAATAGAGTTCAGTACAGCCAATCTCAATAAAGAAGTTAGCTTCAGATAATAGAGAAATCTCTTAGATTTGTTAGCTTGAATTTTACAGAATCTACTGAACTCTTAAAGAGTGTGCTGTCAAAATACAACTGAAATTGTTACAGAACATAGAAAATGACATAAATCTAAATTGCCACAAGTCTGGTCAGAACCTTCTAGCTGTCTTCATATGTTAACTAATTCTTATTATCTTACTTGAGACTGATGCAGAAGTTCTGAATAAGTGATTTATTGTTTCAGCTCTAACCAAGCCAAGTGCCCTGTTTAGTAGGAAAACCCTAGACACAATACAGACAAGTGTGTCCATTCTCAAAGCTGTTTATTAAAATGTGACATGATCCCCAACACATGCTTCAGTCTTAGAATCAAGTCACCAAACAAATGACCAAATGTTCTGCAACCCTGATTGATACTTCGACCTTCCTATAGGTTGGTAAATGATCAGTGCGAGAGGAGAGTGAGCAAAAGCAGATGTCACAAAACTGAACTAAAAAATGAACTAAGAGATATGTAAATGAAAATGTCCATTTAAGACAGGGCCGCTTAGCCTGACATGATGGCACATGTCTTGAATCCAGCACTTAGGAGGCAGAAGCAGGTGGATCTCTCTGAGTTGAAAGCCAGCCTGGTCTACAGTGTGAGTTCTAGTAGAGCTAGAGCTTTATTATTGAGACTCTGCCTTGAAATACAATCAAATAAAAAGACAGAGTCTCTTGTAGCCCACCTGTACTTATTTCCACCTGGCTCTGTCGCTGACGTTGGCCTTAAACTCCTGATCTTCTGCTTCTGCCTTGTAGGAGGTGGGATTATAGGCATGAACCACCAGCCCGGATTAAGACTGCACTTATGTAGACTATGTTTTTGTCTATTGTCAGTTATACATTGGTGGTGTTAATGGGAATGTGTGCTGGTATAACCTTTGTGGATGATAATTTAGCCAGGATCTATGAAAATTGCAAAGGCACCAACCTTTTAACCCGGCACTTTTTGAGTTCCTTTCAGAAAAACTGGGCTAATCAAAGGTGTGAGATGAGTTGCAGTCTTGGTTTCTAAAGTCAGCAATCGTCTCTGTTCCCGTGATGTAAGTTAAGTTAGGCTGCCAGCCGATACAGGGAGCTAGAAGAGCAATACAGAAACACCAGCACAAATGGTTTCTAATGAAACAACTCATGAGCATGTTTAGAACTGTTACTGCTTGTCTTGAGAAGGGGGGGACACAAAGAAGAAGTATAGTTGCTGATGCATTTCATAAACTATTTCTGGAAAGATACACAAAGAGCTGTCAGTAGTGGGCTTCTCCGGGTGGTGAGAAGACCAGTCAGTTTATATGGATCTCATGTTGTAGCCCCCTGGCTGGATTAAACTAAAATATGGGGTGTAGTTATCTGTATATTTATTATTGGTGAAAAAGTCAGAACCATTTTATTGGTACTCGATTGTAAGTTCTGGAGAAATGTCAATATCCTTTTCTTCCTCTGATGTAGGCTCCCCAGCTGAGCTGTCTCCTACCACTCTCTCTCCTGTCAATCACAGCTTGGGTAAGTTGCTGTTACTTCTTACTGTTTTCACTGGATTAAAGAAAGTCCTCTCTGAAAATTATTTTTGTATGTAACAAAACTTATTCAGATGGTTTATATCGGTGACATTAGAAAGGATTGATACAATGTGTTGGTGCTGCTTTCTATTGCTGGAGTTTATAAGACAGTCAATCATTGCAACTATGTTCTTTATGAAGTTGTATAGGTTTTGATGGGTGTTTATTTTGGATGTATCTTACAAATTGTTTTTTTTTCCTCTTGTGATCTTCCTTATGATACATCTCAGTCAAAATGACTAGTTGCATGTGATACGCATTTTCTGTTAGTGAGTTGTCCACTGGTGCCAAAACCTGCACACTTGTCCTTGACTCTGCTTCTTACATGTATGAAGGTAGACCGTTTCAGGGAGTGTGCTTCTTATGTGTAGGAAGGTGGACAATGTCAGGAGTGTTTGTTTCTCCCACCATAATATCTCTTCTTCGACTTTACTTGGCTTTATGTTTTGTCCTATCTGGAATTACCTTCTCAATGTGTTTTAGGAATGCACCCAACCACAGCAGACTGACCCATAGTCTGGTTTTTGTTGTTTTTTTTTTTTTGTTTTGTTTTTATTTTTTGTTTGTTTTCAACAAGAACTAGATGAAAACTAATAAATAATCCAGCTCATAAATTAACTTTATGAGATGGGGAAATTTTCAAAAATTGTATCTGGTGTGATCTATGGGTAAATTTTATATGAAATACTGAAAATCTGGTCTAATCTGTTTAAACCAGTGTTGATGCTCACACAGTGACTTCCTGAGCCTGTCTGTTGCCATGGAGTGTGTTCACTCTGTTTCGTTTTGAGTTGTTCATACAGCATTTCTTTCCCTTCAGATTTGCAGCCTGTTACCTACTCGGAGCCAGCCTTTTGGTGTTCGATAGCATATTATGAGCTGAACCAGAGGGTTGGAGAGACCTTCCATGCCTCACAGCCCTCGCTTACTGTGGACGGCTTTACAGACCCATCGAACTCGGAGAGGTTCTGCTTGGGTTTGCTCTCCAACGTTAACCGAAATGCTACTGTAGAAATGACAAGAAGGCATATAGGTATGTCTTATTTTCATTGTGTGGAAAAAAAAGTTCAGTTTACTCATAGTGTAGAGAATATGTGGTATTAGGTCAAAAGTTTGTATGAAAAAGCCCAACTTTGTCTCCATCTGTGAACTGCTTTAATAGGGTCTTGATTCTTAATCTACAAACTTTTGTCTTTTTTTGTTTGTTTGTATTTGACATTCTTGATAGTGAGAAGTCCTTTGATAAGTATATATTAAAAGTGATTAACTTGCTCAGTCTCTTTTAGTCAAAAAAGGGCAATGTTTAGTCTTGATCTTTTTCATTTTTCCCCTCCTCTTAGTGATTTTATATCTAATTCAGAATGCAGTCTGGGGCTTCAGAATAGAGTGGAGGATTTCTTACAGTCCCATGAAGCACGTTGGCCTGTGTGAGGTCAGCACTGCTTTCTCAGTCATGCTGGGCGGGATGCTGCCTGCTTCTCCATAGTAGAAAGTGGGGCATTCTGGAGACGAGATGAAGTGTAGACCTGAGAATCCAGACAGGAAAGAAACTTGTCAAACTGAAATATTCCCACTTGCTCCTAATTTAAGTTTGAAAATGGTTATTTCTCATAGATCTTGTTTGTGTTAATAGATTTGTTGTTGTAAGTTTTTAAAAGATCAACACAGTTTTGTCTTTTGTCTTTTCAAGGGGACCACCACCCAGCTCCCAGATAAATCACACACGGAGCCTTATTCTTAGTTATGAATGTCCAGCCTAGCTTGACTTACTTCTTGCCAGCTTTTCTTAAATTATGCTTTCTTCCTCTGGGCTTTTTATTTCTCTTACTTCTGTGTATCTTATATTCACTCATACTCCGTGACTGACTGGGTGGCTGGATGGCTGGCCCCCGGTGTCTTCTTCTTCTTGTTCTTTTGCTCCTTTCTTTTCTCAAATTTCTCCTATTTATTCTCTCTGCCTGCCAGTCCTGCCTCAACATTGGCCGTTCAACTCTTTAGTGGACTGTCAGGTGTTTTAGACAGGCAGGGAATCACAACTTCACAGAGTTAAACCAATGCAGCATAAACAGTAGCAGCACATCTTTACATCGTTAAACAAATGTTCCACAGCATAAACAAAGTAAAACAACTTAATACTCCCCAACACATTTTATCTCAGTTTTCAGTCTAATGTGGTAAGTTTCCATGATTATAACCCACATATACCCAGATTTTTTGGGAACCTTAGTGTTTTGTTTTTAACTGGAGGGGAAAAGTGTAGAGCTGCAGATTCTGAGCATTGTCTGGTCAATTCTTTACCTTCTTCAGCGTGCCTCTGCCTGTTTGGGATTAACCATTTCCTCCTGCAAAAAACGATGTTGATTACCAAAAGTTGACATATTGTGATCTTGTGTCCAGATACCACTGCAGATAAAGGCTGTGAACAGTTCTCCTGACTTTATCTACATTGTTTTTATTTTCTGTGTTTTTTATTAGACCTTTGTATTTTAAAGAAAATTAGTGGTTTCCTCTGCCCTTGCTCGTGTCTCCCAGCAAAATTTTAGTTCACTATAGATTTAGATTATCTTTTACGGTTTTTAAACTCTGGATTGTTAGTTTATCATGTGATCAGGGGATAGTCTGAAAAGTCTACTTTTGTGCTTATTTGCTATTCTTCCCACCCACCCCTGTGTTGGGGGTTTAATCAAGGATTATGTTAGTGCTACACAGGCACACTGTCTGGGTGTATCCTCCCGCTTGAACCCTATCTATCACTGATAACTAAATGCGTGGTTGGTGTTCCACAGTTCCAGAGTCCTCAGGCAGTAGGAGGGCAACAACTGCATTTAGCCTCTGCATACGGTTTGCTGGTTGTTCCACTGCTGCATACCAGGCTGATCTGCTGCTCTTCAGTTTTGTCTGAAGAATTTCTTAACCTAGTATGTGATTGCATTACAAAGTAGACATTTGCACAGCAGTGTAGAAGAGATAGTTTTGAGTCTTTTCTTAACCTAGTGGTGTCTTTAAGGAAAATTTGCCCAGATGTTAGTTAAGGTTTTCAAAATTAGCTCAATTTTTAAACCAGCAAGTTATTTTGTATGAAACTGTCTCGCTGTTATGTACTTTTTCTATATTAAAATGTTTTTCATGAGTGTTACTTTGAAAAAAAAAACAAAATTATTGTTAAAAGTTCTTGGGGAAAACGCTGTGATATATTTCAGAATTACAGCTCAGGAGGAATGAATGCATGGCTGTGAGAAAAGGTCAAGGAAATACCTTAGAATTCCTTCTAGATGCTTCTCTCAGGAACACTAAGAGAGTTAAGTGTTCTGAAACTAACCATGTGTATTTTGTTTTAGGAAGGGGAGTGCGCTTGTATTACATAGGTGGGGAAGTTTTTGCCGAGTGCCTAAGTGATAGTGCAATCTTTGTGCAGAGCCCCAACTGTAACCAGAGATACGGCTGGCACCCTGCAACAGTGTGTAAAATTCCTCCAGGTATGGACGCACCTAGGTAAATACACTATCATATCAACAGTCAAAATAGCATAAGTCATATCAGCTTGTTTCACTAACTTTCTAATTGCTAATGATTTTAGGAATTAGGAACTAAATTTGCATGCTCATTCTGAAACGTAAATTCCCTTTAAAACTGTTTTCTATAATGATGCTGTTTTTATATCTTATTATTTCTCAATTCTAGGCTGTAACCTCAAGATCTTCAACAACCAAGAATTTGCAGCTCTTCTGGCTCAGTCCGTCAATCAGGGTTTTGAAGCCGTTTATCAGCTAACTCGAATGTGCACCATAAGAATGAGTTTTGTGAAGGGGTGGGGAGCGGAGTACCGGTAATGGATCCCATGCTCAGTTTCTAGTCTTCACTCTGGTTATTTGTAGTCCCGGTTGCATCTTCTGTAGCTTATTATCTCTGTTTTGTACAGATCTTTATGTAGAATAATAAAAGAAAGCGGGTTAAGGACATAGCTCAGTTAGTGGAATGCTTGTATATCATGCATGAGGTGCTGAATTCAAGCTTTAGAAACAAACCAGGTGCTGTGACGTGTTCAAGGCCATGATAAGTTACATGAAATCTTTAGTTAAGAAAGTTGGAGGCCTGAAGATATGAAACTGAAAAATTATGCATTTGTATTATAGGAGACTTGACTAAATTGTGTGTAAGCATGCATTTTAACATAATGTAGAATGTTAAGTACCATAAAGGGTGTATTCGAAAGGTTAGGTCATTTTATAAAATCATAGGCGTCTTTACTTCATGCTCAAAGAAAGCTCTCTGATTGGAGTGTCATGTGATCTAGGTTCTAGAAGATGCATGTGGATTTCAAGAGATAGGAAAGGACAGTATGGGAAGCTAATTCCGACAGCAGAGTAGCAGTGTGATTAGAAGTAGAGCTGGACAGTTGAGTTGAGATCAGCAGAGTAAGTGAACCCCTCCCTTACTTGTGGTCTCACAGTGCATTACCCCAGTCAGCCGATGTTATTGTGCTGTGTCTCCAGCCTACTGCACATGCAAGCACAGCAGAAATTCTTGGGCATGGAAATTCAAATGCCTATACTTGGAAGTTGGCTAGAGCATACTGAAAACCCATGAACAGGGCAGTGATTCCATGTGCTGCAGAGCTCTACATATATTATTGGACGTTTAGTTCCCCCCCACGCACGCATTTTAGATAATGTATATATGTGTGTGTATCTTGTGTGTATATATGGATCTGTTCTTGTGTGAGTGTAGGTACCTGTGAAGTTCAGGTGTAAACTGGGAGTTACAGGTGTTCGAGTTGCCAGATGTGGGTGCTGCAAACTCAGTTCAGTCCTCTGAAAGAGCAATACACACTCTTTAACTGTCTAGCCATCTCTAGCCCCCCTATTTTTCCAGTCCTAAATGCTACTGGGCATGAATTGTTTGCAGATGGAGAGCTGATAAGAGTCTTTTATCATGTTTAAAGGATGTCATGTTGAAAACTCAAAGTAAATGTATAAACTGACACTGTAGCAAATAAACTAGAGCTAAATCCAATGCTGAAGACTATAGTAACAAGATGTTCGGTGATCCAGGGAATAGGCAATGGCCCCTTTGTTTAAAGCACCAGAAGATTTTAATTTTGCTTTTTAAACGAGAAGCCCAAGGGATGTTGCTGACAAAAATGTTGCTCATTTTGTCTCTAAAGAAAAATCAGCTCCAAGTCTTAACATTGTATAGCAAGGATTTAGTTTGTGTTAGCAGGCTTTAAATTTGAATTTTTTTTGACTTTAACTTCATTTGATACATTTAAAAGTAGGGTGACCATATCTGTCAATTTCCTTAGAGCATTCTTTCCTGGTTTATGTCTCTCCTTCCTTCCTCATTAATAGTAGTACCTAAATTCTCTCTTATAGGTATCCCGTGACTATACTAATTTAACTTGAGAAGAAAAGCATGTTTTTGTAAATCTTTTGAAAAGATGAAATTCTGGGGAGGTAGCTCAGTTGGTAAAAGCGCTTGCTATACAGGCATAAGAACTTGAGACTGATCTCTAAGACTCATAAGAACCAGACATGTCTCAAGTTCTTATGCCTGTATAGCAAGTGTAACCTCAGCACGAAATGGTGTTGGGGGCTTGGGGACAGATAGATCCTAGGAACTTGCTGGCCAGCCATTCTAGCCAGTATAGGGAGCTTCAGGTTCAGTGGGTGACCCTGACTGAAGGGAACAAGGTAAAGAATAATTGAGGAAGACACTCAACCCAAACTGTTTCCCCATACAGCTCCTCTGGCCTCTGCATTCACTTGTACACACACATATGCATACATGTACCCCACATAAATAGATAGAAGTTTTGAAAAAAAAACTCATTAGATCATTTTAGTAGTAAAATTATTTTTCAAACTAATAATTCTATGTACCAAATGATAATTATTCTAAAAAGTAGATTTTATTATATACAACCCTTTAATTTCCTAATTGTTTTTTGTGTTCTTTCAAACAGGAGGCAGACAGTAACAAGTACTCCTTGCTGGATTGAACTTCATCTGAATGGCCCTCTGCAGTGGTTGGACAAAGTATTAACTCAGATGGGATCCCCTTCAGTGCGATGCTCGAGCATGTCATAAAACCCATCACCAGTCGAGTTCATCGAGAGACTTCGTGTAACAACCTCTCTGTCATAGTATTTGTGTATGATCCCGTGGACTGTTTGCTATCCAAAAATTCCAGAGTGAAAACAGCACTTGAGGTCTCATCAGTTAAAGCACCTTGTGGAATCTGTTTCCTATATTTGAATATTAGATGGGAAAATTAGTGTCTAGAAATGCCCTCCCCAAAAGGGGAAAAAAAGACTTAAAGACTTAGTGATGTCTTGTTGGGCGTAAGACAGTGTCCCAAAGGTTATTAATAACAGTAGTAGTTATGTGTACAGGTAATGTATCAAGACCCAGTATTGCAGTACTATGCTGTTTGTATACATTTTTAGTTTGCATAACTGAGGTGTGTGTGCTGCTTCTTGGTCTAGGCAAGCCTTTATAAAGTTACAGTACCTAATCTGTTATTCCCACTCTCCGTTATTTTTGTGTCTTTTTTAATATATAATATATATATATATTAAGATTTTCAAATTATCGTTTAGAAGCAGATTTTCCTTGTAGAAACTAATTTTTCTGCCTTTTACCAAAAATAAACAAACTTGGGGGAAGAAAAGTGGATTAGCTTGGAAATCCTTGACCTTTATGTGTCCAATGGATCTTAGCAATCATTCTTTATGTGTGCATTTACTTCCTGCTGAATTTCATTAGAAGGAAACCTTACTGGAAGCTTCCGGGCTCTTCATCCCATTTCTCTTCCAATAGAAAACAGTACAGCATGATGTCATTGTGGTAAATAGTTGCACTGATGGCTGCTGGGGTAGTTAATCCTGAGTCCAGTGAAGGTTTGTTGGGAGTAAGCCTCTTGTCTTAGAATCAGACTCCCAGATGATAATGGACTTGTATAACCTGTTGGTCTGTTGATTAACTTTTGTCTCAGAACATGCACAGGTCACAGTATAATTATTTTCAGGGCTACTCTAGGATCATCTCAGTATGTGTTTCCTTCTTCCAAAGCCAGTCTAATAATAAAGGATCTTTCTGTAAAGGCAGCTGACCTTCTGCCTCATTTCGCTTAACTACCAGATTGTATTACAAAATGGACCTTTGGCAAATGTACTTGTTTCTGCAAATACATAAGCATGACACTGAGGTGTGGTCAGTAGATGGGGCCGTCTGCTTTCAAAGTGCGCTATACGTGATTCATAAATGGGATGTTAAATTAACTAACTTCAGAATTTTAAAGGTTGGGAACTAAGCCGTTATCAAGATTTTTAGCCTGTTTTACCTGCAGTCTGAGTTCTTGACTAATCCTGGGTGTGTGGGTCATGGACCTTTCTGCTCTGCAGTAAGGGGATTCCAGCTGTTCTGGTAGTCCTCCGCTTTGCAGCACACAACAGTCATGTTCAGTCTTGACTCTCGTCTCGTTTGCAGCTCCATACAAATGGAGAATACTTCCTGATCTCCTTTTTGTAAATTTTCATATTTTTGCAGATAAATACCTTTGGTACTTACTCTTTGAAACCATACTCATATGTATGTACAGATAATCATTTTCGATGCTTTTCAACATTTGTTGTTTTCTATTTGATATTTCCCATTTTCTTATATTTGTGTGCGTATGTATGTGTTTGTGTAAATTTGGTATAGTAATTTTTTATTCAAATATTTATTGTTCACCTGTTGATGTGCCATGAACTTTCTTAACTTTTGGGTGAAGGTGAACAAGATAGCTCTAGTTCCTGCCTTTGCTGAGATAGCAGTTGACTTAACCCATGCTCAAGTGTCTGTAGGAGGTAAACAAGGTACTGTTTAGAGTATGACAGACAGCATGCTTCTGGTAGGACAACAGGAAGACATCTGGGAAAGCAATGCTTGAACTAACACCTAACCTAAAAGGGGTGAGCCATGTGAAGAGCTGAGGGAAATCAGCATTGCGGCCACAGCTTCAGCCCCAAAGGCCCAGCTCATAATTACATACATACCTGCACACACCCAACTGTAAAAATGAGAGTGGCTCTTCAGTTTGTAATTTGTTGAAGGTAGCACTGCTTTGTGATAGGCTGCTTGTCATCTCACTGTGTTCATTCCTCAGATCTTCGTTCCTAACAACCGTCTCTCACGTAAAGATTCACCAGAATGGAGAGCTGCTGTTTGCTTCTGGACCTGTTGCTGCACACTTATCACTGCTTCTGCCGCCCATCTTGGGAGAGAGGAAATGGCCTGGGCATCATTGCTGCTGAGCCTGCTGGAGAAAATCGTTGTAAACTGCCCCTCATTGGAAGTTTTCACAGATTGAAAAAGCTTGTGCTGTTGGGACAGTTCGGGGCCACGGGCAACTTTGGAAGTGGTAGAAGGTTATCAGGCAGGCTAAAGTAATGCTAGCAGTGGGACACATCTCCATGGTTTGGGTTCAGGTGTAGGTTTTCTATACAGTATGAGATGGGATTTTCCCTTGAGACATACCTGTATCATGGAGCATGGGCTGTCACAGTGTGAAGTATTCAGTGGTCATGTTTGCTTTCCAGTGAAATGCTGTGGGCTTGCATTACACTTTGTCTAACATGGCCTAGTTTTTGTTGATTTCCCCTACTCTGATAAGGCTGGTTTTTGTTCCAGGTGATACCCAGGGCCTCCTCTTGGCTGATTTGTCCTGATTTAAGTTATCTGCATTATTTAGCATCTCTGATCAATGGTAATTTGAAAACTTTTTTCACCAGGTTAGAAAATTCAACTAGATTAAGCCAGTCTTTGGAATACCACTGAATTGGGCTCTGATTTAAAGACGCTTTCCTGCTAGAGTCTGAGCCATACTGGTTAACACTGACGGCATCGTGGTATATATACATTTAGTCAGTCAGCATAGTTTTCTGATGCCTGTTGTTTTCCCAGCCACTGTGATTCTGTGACAATGTCCTGGCCCTTGAATTGGGCTTAGTCCTGTGGGAATTACCGATGCTTTCAGGGCCTGTCACTTTGCCAAAAGGAATCTGCATGTGTTTTCTTTTCTTTTCTTTTCTTTTCTTTTTTTTTTTTTTTGGTTTTTTGAGACAGGGTTTGGTTTCTCTGTGGCTTTTGAGGCATGTGTTTTCTTAAGAATTAAATCCTTTAATTCTATATTTGCAGATTGTTTAATATCTAGGACTTTTTTTTTACCTTAAACAATATGTAATTTAGTTAGTAGTATAGTTCATTTGTTTTTTAAGCTGTCAGATTTCCCCTTCATTTCTTTAACTTGACATTGGTTGTGCCTTGGTTTATCCAGACCAAGACTCCAGGTGGAAGCAGTTGTGTTAGTAGGCTTTGTCAGTCGAAATCAAAGAAAGCAAATGCCCTTTTGGTTTCTCTACCTCTTCCAAGAGCTGCCCGAGTGTATCTCTGAAACATTTTTTGTCAAAGATTGTTAAGTACTAGGAACAGTTAGGAGTTCTTTTTTGCTATAGGGTAGCTAGGCTGGTAGTGGGTTATAAAGTATCATGAGACAATCTAAGCTGGCTCTTCCCGTTTGCCCTGTTTGTTCCCTCTGTGCAACTTTCTCAAGTGTATCTTCATAGGATAAGCCAGGGACCCTTTTCTTACTGTGGCTTAAGGCCTTGATGACCTAATACATCCCACTCCTTATTAGTCTCCTTGCTTGTGTGTCACACTTTGCTCCCTAAGGCTTCCGTGCTTCATGCCCTCCTGTGAGCTGTAGTTTTCTGTGTTCATCAGTGTTTATCCCTTAGGACTGTGTACTTCTTTGCAGTTAGGCTAGGATTCCTTGGGCTGCTGTTTTAATTGTACAAGTGGCTCTGGAATTTAATATATTTTAGATGGTAACAGCATCTTCATCCCTGTTTGGGGGCATTCTGAATTGTCAGTTTTAGTACAATCAGGTGATGGTATGTGGTCTTCAGAGAGACAGATACCTGCTGTTAGTTCCTTTTCTCTTTTCAAGTTTCCTTGACTGTTAGATTTGTTCAGATTACCTTTTATCTGAAGGAGATAGAGGACAGATTATTTCTTGGGGTGTAATTTGTGTATTTCAAAACTTGGAGTCATAAAATACTGAGTTAATCTCATGAATGCTTTTGTGATAAGACCTGGTTTCATGTCTGTGTGACTTCCTGGGCAGTACAGCCAGCTTTTGTATATGAGAGCTGCCTCAACATTTCAGTTGTATTTAGAAAGTATACACACATACACTCTCAGAAAAACTAGCAGTGGGGTCCTCTTAACAGTGATGACTGATTATGTTGTTTAAATCTCAGATCTCAGTAAAAACAGTCCTCATTTGCTTGTAGACCTTATCCTATGTGACACAATCAGTATATTTAAATGAAGTCTACCACAGTCCTGATTTGATGGTTCAGCTGGAATGCTGATGTTTAGGCCCTGCGGTAAAAATCATGGGAAATTCATTACCCCCAGTAAAGCTTTCCTATTCCTCTTCCCTAACCTGTCCACCCAGTGCTGAGGGGTAACTTGAATAGAACGGCAGATTATATTCTTCATTTGTTCTCCACCCCCATGAGATGCTGCTTCAGAGACTGGGCAGTACCACCACGAAGTCAAGCTCCCTGTACCTAATGCTCACCTCAATGAAGGTGCTTCAGGCCTGACTGTCTTGGCTGTGGTCAATAGACGTGATTTTCTAAGGCTTTGGGGGCCTCTGTTTGCTATTACCTCAGTGTTCCTTGGCTTGCTTCTGTTAGTCTTAGCGTGGACCCCAAGTTTCACAAGTGCTAGAGATGTAGGATCCTTAGGAAGAAGTGTGGTGGTGGTGAGACGGGCTCATTAACTCTGTACATGGGACTATGGCATTTTTATTTTGGTTGTTTTGTTTTTGAGAAAAAATGACATTCTTCTGCCTTCTCAAGAAAAAACTTTTCAAAATTTCTGGTTCACTGTTTTTGAGTGGAAGGTAAGAATTTGCTTTCTGCCAGACAGTGGTGGCGCACACCTTTAATCCCAGCACTCAGGAGGCAGAGACAGGTGGATCTCTTGTGAGTTTGAGGCCAGCCTGGTCTACAAGGCAAGTTCCAGGACAAACAGGGCTACACAGAGAAACCTTGTTTTGAAGAACAAAGATTTTGTTCTCCATTTCTGACTTAAAATAATCATTGAATAATAAATTCCACAACATAGTGATTTAAAAACAACTGCAAAGCTTTAGAATTAACGGAAAGCACACTGATTATTCCACTTTCCAACCAGCTGTTACCCTTCCAGCTGGGACTTTAGGGTTCTTGGCTGGTTGCATTGTTAGTCACTAGCTGCTCCATTAATAAAAGTATTAAGTTGTCCCTTTGCAGTTGTTTCATAGGGTTGGCTTTGGGAGTGTCTCCTGTGGGACAAAGGCTTACAAAAGTCTTCTTCCTGGGGGAAGTCCCTAAGAAAATGTCTCTTTGACACTCTCAGTGTTGACACCCATGGACTGACCTGACTGAGAAGAAATTGGCTGCAAAGGGACAGTGCTTGGTTGGTGCACATCTGTCCTCACCTCACCTCAGGAGTATAGGCGGATATTGGCTTATAGAGGAAGTTTACAGAGATTAGTTTAAATCAGGAGAATAGTTATATGTAACATTTAGGTAACATGCATGAATTTTAATTTAAAAGTAACCAATTTTTGGAAGACACCAGATTCAACCTGTCAATTTGCCCACATGTATACACATACATAGCCAACCTTTTTCTTGACAGAATGCAAAGCTCAGATTGGGCACAAGTTTGACCAGCTTTACCTCAGACTCCACTTAAGCTTTTCTTGACCTTAATGCTTTAAGGCATTAATATTTGGCTTTTTAAATCGATGGCAGTGATCTGTAAAACTCCGTACTTTGTAGTCTGCTAAACCAAGAGAACCCACAGGGACTGGAACTGCAACATTGCAGGAAGCCAAATCAAAAAGCTTTGGAGAAGTGCTGTTACTCCCTGCCCCCAAGGCCGACCTTCCTGAGAGCACAGTACACAGCAGTGTGACTCTAGATCTTTCCTAGTACCTTCAGCTGACTGCCTTCATACATGAAACAAGAATGTGGGAGTAGCTGGCATTGAAGGTTTTCACATTTTAAAAGGATGTAAAAAAGATACAAGAAACTGGAGTATTCCTTTAGCTCAGAAAATCTCAACATATGGTAAGATACCATGTAACTGGGCGGAGCAGGAGACACTTAGGAAGTCTTGTCTGCAAATGGGTTTCAAGAGTGAAGTCTGGTGCACCACCACTAATCCTTAACTAACCTTTCAGTGCTTCTGGGCTTCTAGCAGTGTAGCCAGTTTGGAGGAAGTAGACTTTAGCAAGACAACTGAAAGCCTGATGTTGCTAATGCACTTAGAAATTCTTTTCTCTAGGCATGTTAAGGAAGGTGACCAGCCCTGCTGTGCCTGGGACAAGTGTCCCAGGTGTGCAACACTCAGTGCTAGACCAAAGTAAGTCCCAGGGGTCCTGGGAAGAATTGTCCACCTAAGGTGTCCTCAGGATTTATTCTCATATTAATGTTGTTATAACTGATACTGCAGTGAGTTGCCTCATGGTTGTCGGCGTTTCCAGGATTGACCTGTGTGCCCCTCTAATCGCTTACTACTGTGAATGCAACCTAAGATTTACAATAAATAACAAAAGTAGCAAATAGAGTTGATTGGAAAAAAAGAAGTGGAAAAAAGGAAATTGGAAGGCAGTAACTAGATAGATATGGATCTGTGTAGGTGTGAGTACATTTTGTGTCCTTACGAGGTGAAGTTTAAATGTTTTGTAACATGGAAACAATGTGGTGATAGATTTTCTTTTTCATAGGGGAAAACATGGTCTTCGATGCTTTGGTTTATTTCCCAGTCTGTCCTGCTCAAGAAGCCAGAATGTGATACTGTGTTTTTGGTGAATGTTGTCTTAAAATTACTTAATGTGTCAGCCAAAAGCAGGTGAAGGAATCAGTGCCCTGATAGAGTTGGAGCCGTTTGCTCTCAAGTCTTATGTCCTCCTACTCTCAAGGTGCTTACCAGCTAGACTGAGTGTGGGAGCCCAGGGTTTCTAAGACGCCATGGATTCCGAAATGTAGTATGGCAGACATGAACCCTATTGCTGTTCTCTGGTAGTCCTTAGTGACCGAACTCTGCACACTGTGATGATGGAGGTGTTAAGTGTGTTATTTGTGAACCTACTCTTCACGAATGTCAAGACAATGACTTGGGTTTTTTTTATTATTGTTGTTGTTCTTTTGGTTTTTTGGTTTTTTTTTAATTAAACAGTGAGCTGAGGCTTTATTATAGGTGGTTTCAAGTAAAAATTGTGAAATACTTATTTCCCGTCCACACCAAATACTTAGTCTATTTAATGTATTAAAGAAATAGTTCTGCTTAAGAAAATGTTGCTTAAATGTTCTGTGATTTCTGGTCAATTTTTATACCGATCTGTGTGCATCTCTGTGCATCTCTGTGTGTTCTCTTTCTACCTTTGCTCTACTGTGTACTGTTGCCATTGGAAAGTGGTCGATTTTCCTAGCATTAAAAAGAATATTTGAGTTATTTTCCATGTCATTATGGGATCAGATTTGTTTTGATTTTGGTATAAGGTGATCTTTTTTGGGGGGGTGATTACATTTTGGTGTCTACAGTCTATATTATGTGAATGCAAGAAAATGAATTTTGCATGTGCAGGTATGAGAAAGTGTGTTTAAATTGTGATACACACACAAAAAAAACTTGATTTGTTCCTTTCTCAGGTTGGCCCTGCTTACCCAAAACACACTGCATAGTACTAGTTTCATGTTTTGATTTCAGTATGCCTGTGGCAAATTAATGATAATAGATAATTTACATTTAAAAAAAATGGTGAAATTGAAATTTGCCCTGAAAATGTGTGTACGTGCGCACGTGCAGTTTCTCTCTCTCTCTCTCTCTCTCTCTCTCTCTCTCTCTCCTCTCTTCTCTCTCGTCTCTCTCCTTGAAAAGTACCAGAGAACCTAATCTTCCAGGTACATCATAATCATCATGAAGTAATTGAGAAACATCCTGGTTGAGCCATGCTTCCTATAGCTGAATCTGTTTTCCTCATTTGTGGTAACCAAGCTTCACATTTAAGAAAAAGAACCTCAAAAGCTGAGGTACACAATCCTATTTGACATTGAACAGACCAAGCATTAAGTTAATACTTTTTATTGGGAGAAAAACTTAAACTGGTTTACTCTTAAAATTGCTGTAGCATTTAACTGTGAACAGTGGAAAAGACCCTTGCTAATATTCTTGCTGGTATCTCTTGAGGTAATATGACAGGTGTCCATCCCTGCCTTAGGACAGCTGTTGACCAGCTTGCTGTCCTGCTGGTTCTTTGTATTGGAGACCACGTGGTCGTGTTTGTATGAAGTGCCAGAAGAACATGGGGAACCATTAAGCCTTGTATTGGGGCTCTTACTGCTTGCACATCCCTCTTTTCCTCAGTGTAAATTGAATTCCTTCAGTACAGGAAATAGGTATCAGTCAGCTGATATCATCTGGTGAAGCCATTGTTCAGTACCACACATGTCCAAGAGGTAGTAGGGTGAAGACTACATTGGTTATTCAGGTATATACTCAGGGGCTAGCAAGAGGACTCAATGGATAAAGGCCCTTGCTATGCAAACTCCTAAACCTGAACTTGATCCCCCAAACTTATAGAAAGGTGAAGAGAAGATGTACTACAGAGTGGTCTTCTGATTTCCACATGTGTGCCCACACTTAAACCATACATAGAATAAGAACCTAAGAGCACTTGGGTCATCCTCCTTCCCTTCCACTCCTCTGGGCTCCTTCCCATCATCTCACAGGCTCCACCTTCATTTTTGACAGAATTGTTTTCATCAAAACATCAAGTCCTAAAATTGAGATTGTCATAGGTAGGACTCTAAAGCAAACTTCTTCAGTGAAGAGCTGTATGAATAAAGTCAAGGTCATTGAGTGTGGCTTCAAGTTAAGTTCAGGGCTAAGCTAGTGAGTGATAGACCAAGCATTTTTCCCAGGAAGCTTGAGAGTAGAATGTTTACTGTAATAGTTAAAATGTAAATAGGATTCGTGATTGTAACTTGTCAGGGTTTTTTTTTTTTGGCTCTTGTTTTGGCTTTTTCTGTCTCATAGTACTGTTCATTACTATAAAAGTTCTAAAATTTAGAAGAGATGTGATCCCAGAGCAAAGAAAAGGTGCTTCTGAACACATGGTTCAGGGAGGACATGGTGAGTGCATTAAGGATTTGATTTAGGGAGTAATCTGGAGTGGGTTAGCATGAGGTCTTGGAATGCACCTTGTGCGGATGTGTTGACGGGTTTCTGTCCCACAACGTCCCGCAGTCATAAGTCCCAAAAAATACACAGAGATCTACATTAATTATAAACTGGTTGGCCTAGTAGCTCAGGCTTCTTATTAACTAATTCTTACAGACTACATCTTCACTCATTATTCTTGTCTGTGTTAGCCATGTGGTTTGGTACCTTTTTTTGGCAAGGCAGTCACATCTTGCTTCCTCTGTCTGGATGATAACTGTAGATTGACTCTTTCCTCTTCCTAGAATTCTCCTGTTCTCCTTGCCCCACCTCTACTTCCTGCCTGGTCATCCCGCCCATACTTCCTGCCTGGCTACTGGCCAATCAGCATTTTATTAAACAAGTACAAGAAACAAATCTTTACAAGGTAAAACCATTGTCCTACAGGAGGAATGACTATGCAAGAAACCCCAGACATTGCTTAATAAGCAGCCATTGAAGGTGTGGAGCAGAAGATGGCCAACCATAAGCTACCATAAAGGTCACATCTGATAACAGTCTGGAGGTCAATGCCACTGGTGGCTTAGGTCTACACACTGAGATTCTGCTTCTGCGCAGTCAGGAACATGGCCATGGGGGACATCAGCTGAAGATGGGGTGCTCTGGAGTGCAATGTGCTGTGTTGCACCAGAAAATGTTATGTTTGTTTACATGACTGAAATTTGTTAGGGAATTCCCTGAGAGTCTTGAGTGTGTTTAATGGTAGCAAATTGCCAGTCTTTAGCCACTTGCCCAACAGCAATTTTCTATGGAAGCCTTGCTTGTTGAACTTCAGCTGCAGGTTTGTGTCCTCTGCTTTTAAATTGTAAGTTGTTTTCGCAAGTGATCTTGTCCCTTTTGACTTGTTACTGGCACTATTTAATCACACTGTGTTATGTAAATGCCATATTTGTACACATGATTCCTAAGTGGTTATATGCGTAAATGTGCTGCAGTGGAAAAGTGAAGATTGAAATGAGCCCTTTTTCCATTGGAATAAAGTATTTTAGTAGCAATGTCTAGCTGCCCCTTTCTGTTAAAAGTTTTACCTAAGAACTACAGTTACTTCATTTCAACTTTGAAGTCAAGCTCTGGTGTATGGCATTTTAGAACACTCTTGGTCAACCTTGAACGCATTCTGTACAGAATTGAATTTTATAGAAATAATTGAATGCTTTCATCTGTAGCAGAATTAGTGGCCTGTAAAGCACTGTGGTTTCTTGCAGTGCTCTGCAGTTGTTAGAGGAGGAACTTTATTACAGGCTACCTGCTAAGGGAAGCAAGAGGCACAGAAAAGTACTGTTTCCAAAATGAGAATCACTGATAAGAATGTTAAAAAATTTTAACTTTTAAAAGCATTCTTTCCCCTATCCTATTATTTAAGTGCCCCATTAGTTTAATGTTTAAATAAAACCAAATACAGGTGAATAAAATCAAACTAAACTTTGGAGGACTAAGTTTTGGTGCTCAGCCTTTATAACAATTTATATATAGCATGGTACAGTTTTATTTGCCAGAATGTCAACTTCTTTCTCTGTCCTGCTTTCACTTTTTTACATTCTGTTCCTACCCCCTCTATAATTAAAGAAACCTTTAGAAAAATGCATTATCGTAGAATACATAATTGTTGATACTTGCTAAGCTCAGAAGTGCCAGGAGAGTTAGATTTCCATCACAAGTGAATGAGTATTTCGTTCATCCAGAACTTTTCCAGTTTATGTCTGACTATTACAGCTGCAGGTATGCCTTTACTCCAACCAGCATGGCCACCAAGGGTGCTCAACATAATCATAGAGATTCAAGTTTCTGGGTTATGGGAGAATCTGTATGATTTAAAAGTGTCCTGAGTGTTTCTCAACAGAAGAAGTAGCAACATCTAAAGGCTGTTTAAGAACACAGGAAGGAATGCTTGAAAAGTGTGCTATAATTATCACTATCTTCAGTGATGGGACAAATCTCAAAGGCCTTCAGCCTTCAGAGATTTAAACAGAATGTTGTAATAGTTGTAAGCCTTTGCTGTCATTTCTCATGTAGTGGAGGATCAGAGAGAGGTCTGATTGTGCCTATTTCTGTGATTAAATCATTTCATTATTGTCTTAAATTTCCCTGTTTCCTGAATTCTCTCATAGTGGGGTATTGGTCCTGAAGATGGTTAGGGGGTGAAATGTGAGCATTTGAGCTCTGAACATAGCACAGAGTCTATGTACTAATGCACTAGTTACTTCACCGTCTGAAACGCGGGGAGATAGTAACAGAGTGTCAAACTTGGGAAGTATTACAACCACAGAACCTCAGCAGCAAGTGTCAGCTGTGTGGCAGCAGCATTCAGCTTTCCCTGGGTGTCTAGAACAATCTTGCCTGCTTGGCCATATTGTGCCCTCAGTAGTAGCATTTTCCCCTGTGTACTTTGTCCTCACTCTTGAGCATTCTTGAAGGCTGGACAGCAGTGACCACGCCCAGTCCACAAGGCCATTGAGTCTGCACGATCCATGCTAACTAGCATTGATCAAAAGTAAGCCATGAGGTCAGGTACACAGTGAAAACGGCTTCATTTCTGAGTTGAACAAAGCGTGGAGAAAATCGCAAGGAATGTGGGGAGTTGGGGCCTTGGAAATCCCTCTGCCAGGCCCTTGGTTTGTTGCTGTATAGTGGCCAGGCAAGAGGCAGATGGAGAGACTGAAGATACCTCAGAGTTTACAATGTTCATTTGGTTCAAAGTATTTTAACTTATGGAACATAAAATCAATACACATCTTTATAACACTCTGCAAAGAGTTAAAACCAAAGATTTGGTCTCAGAATTACCAGTGTACCTGGCTGTTGTAATGTGACTAGAAGAACTTCTGGTTCTCTTTAGAATAAAGTTCCTGCCTTATAACTGAGGCAGAAGGATCCAGAGAAACAACTTCTGCGTAACGAACACTGATGCCATTTTCAGAGCCTATATGGGATTTCCCTCATGCAAAGATGTGGCCTGCTGTACTTCTGCTGTCCACTTGCAGAAGCTGCAAGTGCTTAAGGAAACATTATTGATCAGGTTCAGCAGCGATGTGACATATAAAAACCTGGTGTGCTTTCACCATGGTGCTGTATTGGTTTTCTTTTTTGTCTTTTTGGTTTTTTTGTTTTTTTTTAAGGCCAGTTACCCATGCCCTTGCCCATGCCTACCTGTTCTATATTACAAGAGTCTAGCTAGCTTCTCTGGTCAACGAGGTCAGAATTCCCAAGTTGATCACCTATATTGTGCCCAGCATTACCTACCGTGG